AAGGTGCGTTTCTATAAGTCTTCCTACCATTATGACCAAGTTGCGAAAACAAGGTCAAACAACTTTTATAAAACATAATTTTGCCGTCTGTAATAGCAAATATATATTTGCTGCAGTGACCATCCCAACACAAAATGTGATATGGTCGAGGCCTAATTTGTTGTGAAATTTCCTTCTGCTTCGTGCCCAACAGAGACTTGTGGCAATATGGCGTGGCGGTGACGTGTGGAAATTATGAGCTGTATTAACCGTATTAACAATGTTATGTCAGGAGATTCATCGAAACCAAGTTTCTCTTGTATCTGAAATTCAATTGCATCAGGAGAATTCACTATTAGTTATTCATCAAATTAGGTGATCTAGGCATGCAAATGAACTGAGGTGCTCGAATCCCCAGATGGTGGTTAATGTGATTTTGTAGGTCTAGGATAGTTGATGGAAAATCCAGCCTTTTCCTCAACTCCTTTTTGGAAGACTCGCCCGCCATGTTTACTTTAATATCTCATGAGATGTATTCAGTCTATTTCGTTTAAGGTGATCAAGGACTGGTAGAAGAAGAATTTTCTCACAATGATATGAGTAGAGCTAACGTTTCCTTTGAATTGCACATAGCTTTGCTTTTCCAAAAGTTGTTCTCCTCTGGGGTAGTCTCGAAACTCTACTCACATACGCAAAATACTTTAATGTCATCGGCAGAAGAATTCTCGCTGCAGGTGCCATTGCGGAGACAGCCCATGCCAGAAAACAGCCAAGTCCGTCCTTGGCCAGTCTGCTAAGCTTTCGTACCCTAAATTGTCTAAGGTGATCAAGGACTGGTAGTTGAATTTTCCCACACATCTATGGATAGGCTTCCCTTTTCCACTAAATTGCACATAACCTTGCTTACCAAAAGTTATTCTTATCCAGAGTCGAAGAATTCAACTACCAGTCCTGGAGCATCTCCAACTAAATAGGGTAAATACAGCTCTTATGTCAGATTTACTGATAGTCTCTGCTACTCTACTCGTGAAACGATAAATAATCTACAGCTGCCTCCTTAACTCGTAATTCTGTCTTTTTCCCGAGGCCATAGCGCTCTTCTATTTCCATCTCGTTGTCGTTGTCGTCGTCGTCGTCGTCGTCTTTTTCTCGTCATTACACCCCGTCTGAAAGAATAGCCTATTTCCATTAGATGCCCATTACTCCAACCTACCATCCACCCACCCAGCCAACCACCATCGGCAGAACAGACCTCCTTTCGCCCTATCGACATCAAATTCTCTGCCTCGCCCCAGTCCTCTCCTATCGTGCCTATGCGTTGCCGTCCACTTTGTGACCTGCAACACGCAACCACGTGGCTGGTGGGCAAAACCTCTTGAGCCAGTCGCCAAGTCCGACGAAAGCACAACAATGCGGCCTGTATCATGGCCATTTTAAGAGGCAAATCCATTTGGTTGTTGGGTTGGCTTCGTGACAAGAATTTTTTCAGGTCGAATTCTTGTCATATGAACAAAAAGCTGTTAGTACCGTTATGAGCATGTGAGGAAATCACGACCCATTGGCGTGGCCTGCCTGTTGTCAGGGCGGATGTGGTGGCAGCAACACGAGCCTCTGCTGCGCGAACATGCTCAACCATTCCTCCCCTCCGACTTGGGGTCTGCAAAGGCTCCGGCCTCAGCTTCAGTCAGGCGTGCAGGGCTAGAAGATGCCCACAGAGCAAGCAAACTGGAATACATGCCTGG